ATTCTAGGCTTAAGGCCTGCCACTCTGCACACCTCTTCGCCCAGTTGTCATTGGCCGTTTGCGTTTTTTTCTTTCCCTTAACAATTCGATTTTTTTTCTCTTGCATGTGCAACAAAGCCTTTAGCTTTCGTCATCCCCTTAATCACGTATTTGTTTTCTTATCCTCTTATACGGCCACTCCATCCTCCTTCATTCCATCTCGTCATATTTTCTAATTCCTTTATCACCGTCCCTATTTCCGATCCATCGAGAGCGCAGATTCGTCGCACAGACGTTGTTTAGAAGTCGCTTATCAGTTAAAAATTCTTTCTACTTATGAAACCATTTCCGTTTCCGTTCAATTTTTATCCCTCTTCTTACTTCGGTTTCCCCCTGCCTTGTCACTGATATGAAACGACAGAGTTTTCACTATCTTCGATCACTATAGCAAATTTCATCAAAATAGATCACTCTTGATGAATATGCGCAATAACAGCTCTAAACTGAAATTCATTCACTAAAGAGTCTGTTCCATGTAAAATTCCGACTCACCGAAGTGAATGTGGTCGTAATGATAAACATTATGGAATTTTGAGTGTTCTCTCAAGTATTCCCCTATTCGTAGATATCAAAAGATTTCGAAGGGCTCCCAATTTTGCTCATTTCTATTGAATCGCAGTTTGAAATTTGATTTGAATCTCCTTGCGATAGTCATTCAGATGAAAACTCATAAGATGTAAACAGTGGCTATTAACCAGTCATGTTTCATAATACAATGCTGATAGAACGGAACCCATATCCGCAGATTACTCAGATATATGAAAAGCATAGCAAAGTGCACCTACCTTTTCTGGTGATCTGAGTTTTTCTTCGAAGGTCAACATTGCCGATAAGGCTGCAATCGCACCTCCAAGCGAGTAGCCAGTGAATGTGACCTTATAGTCGCTTGTTGGTGGATTCAATAGGGTCGGTTGAACAGCCACCCTTAAGCATTCATCCCAACATAAGACTTCCGATTAGCATAGAATATCATTATCATTTCCTTCTTTCATACTACGAGCAATGTTCTAATCACTGAGGTTTACATCGCAAACTTTTGATGAACTGTTATGTTATGTTCTGATCTTTCAACTGTTCAATTTTGCTCTACCTATGCTCAAAACTTTTCCAAATTTTCCGTTATGTTCCCTTCAGCATCTTAAATTTCAGTTCAAATTTATTCTGCTAGACGAGGACAGGATAGACCAGAAATAGGATTGTTTATGCGAACGGAGACATCACTACACTTTAAGACTGCTTGTTAGTGAACAATTTAGGAGCGAACCAAGTTTTATTGAGAGCAGAAATGAAAAGTTGTCCCACGTTTCCATAGTTGTTCCAGTTTACATCAGGGCCCATCCATTGCTCAACTTCTTGTCGAAATTGTTCATCTGACAATACAATGCGATAGCATTTAGGCATGAATAGAATGCGTAAAAAGAATTTTTTGAAGCCCTGTACGAGAGAACTGAGCACAAAAACTTCAAAATGTTTGGTGTGTCTCTGGAAGAACTCAAGGAGCAACTGGAATTCTGATAAAGAATCCATCCCGGGAGTATCGCCTGGTTTATGATAATGGGATGGATTCATTGCTCTAATCATTGTTCTTCCATATTCTGCTGCAGACTCGAAATATTCGTCGTACCTTAGCAAATTTTCGAATATAATCCAAAGAATTCACATTAAAGAACCGAACCTTCATGGTGGCACAAGAGCAAGTTATATCTCATTGTATAATATTCCGCTAGTCCTAAAACATCGCACAACTTCTCTCTCCTTGTTTGACCCGAGTTGTAGCAAAACTTTTTCATGTTCTTATGACTGACTCTCTACCATTTGATCCAAAAATACTCCTCAAAAAATTTCAAGCAATCTTTGAGTTCAGTGAATCTAACTAATTAACGACGAATAATGAACCTCCGAAATCGCCTCTGTACGCAATGATGATTTCTTTTTTGATGTGTGAAATCATGACAACTACTGCACAGACGTGATCTTCTGCCAAACAGGTCACCTCCTATAAATATTCCGATTTATTACAATTTTTGTCTAATAATGAATCGTTTTCACCTCATAACAATGCCTCATTTCGTTACTTTGAGGTCGTCTTTGCAAATGGCAACTTTCACATTTTGGACATTAATCGTAGCTTATTCAGCCGTGCCGTCGATATTCTCAGTGTCTTCAGGGTACATGACACATAAATTATTTGAACTATTACTTCACAAGTTAATAAAGATGAAAATGGTCAGTTCTATATGATCTACATTTCCTTCAAAATCAATTATTTGATCTATCAGCCATAATATTCAGAGCTTATGAATTCCAAATTGATGTCATTTCTAATGATTGTTGCTGCATCTCAATGATGTACCGCAATATGAAAGGGTGTTAAACCTTAGCGTTGATGACAGTCCAGCTTTCGTTTGAAGGCAGCAATTTTTTGATGCAGATTCGTGGATCGGCCGCATATGCACTCGCTGAAAGACGTACGAGGAGACGTGCATCCTAAAAACATACAATATATTAGAAGTAGCAATATATTAATCCGTTCAAGTTGGCTGTTCTCACTTATAATTAGAGACAGATGAAAGTTACACATTATATAAGCACTCTCAACGTTTTCATTTCGAATCACTCCTTAGAATAATTCATTCAAAATCTATACACTATGGATGAAAACAAACTGAATCTCTTAAAAGCAATGAAATGAAGTAGAAGGGATTTAAGGTATTGGCATGTGCAGATTTATTATCTGTTATTATATGATGTTAGGTGATGGTGAGTGCTCAAACAAAGAGCTGACATTTCTGACTTTAGATCCAATTTCATGTCCAATTTGGTGATGAAATGGACTACCTCTGGGAAATGAAGGCAGGCTTAATTGATAGAATGCGTCCATACAAAGAAAAAATTCCAGTTCATTAGATATACAACAAAGCGATTTCAATTAAGTTAAATCTGCTCATTGTAAGATAGTGTTCGTTTCGTTATCAATGATAATCGCTCGAAAACGCAACGAATAATGACCGAAATGATACATTGGTCTTGTTGAAATGCTGATGCCATTTCACGTATGATCTCTTGCAGAAATGAGAAAATTTATGCGGTGTTCAATGGTAAGACCGACCTTATCTGAATAATCGATGTCGTATTCGGAAGCAGCCACGTCTTGCACATTTATGCTGGCAATCAATGAATAAAATGCTAGTGACAAGACGAACGATAACATCCTCCTGAACAACATTCATTTACTATGAATTTCGCTTCATTTTCACTACATTTCGGGCATATATCGGACCGCATTCTCCCCCCCTCCCCGTTCCCCCAGTCCAGGCGATCAGCCATCCTGACCCTTTCCAACAATCCACCACATTTATGAACGAAATACGGGGAGGGAATCAAAAAGTTGCATTCAAGATCAACTGAGGTTTGTTATTAAGAATTCTTCGCTGATAGCAAAAAGATCACTCGTAAATCCCTTTACGATGAAGCAAGCACATTCAAAAGTATCAATGAATAATCACACGAAGCAGAAATATGGAAAAGAAATAGTCCATTATCAATCATGCATCCTTGTTGAATCCCTTCTGAGCTATTTTTCTCTTCGACAGACGAAAGTATTGAAATTAGATGCGTATTGAACGAGTATAACGGTACTCTTTTCGCTGCTAGACAGAAACGAACTGATCAATTGAGACAGATTTCAATCGATTTAGGGCATATCAAAGCAAATTTTGTTCTCAAGTCAAAACTTTGCCATCTTCTAAAAACGTTATTTGACATCAACTTCTAACGGAAATAAAACAGCCACTAATTTTTATCATCACATCAAAAAATGCAAAATACTACCAGTGCGTCGTTCATGCACAATACAAGTAAATTCTGCTGCGCATCTAGCGGCTAAATATTGAATGAATAATTGTTGACTGAAGAAAATTCTTTCGTTTTCAGCATACAACTTGTCGTTGACTGATGCTGCTTGCTGTCTCTTTTATATGAATGGTGAAAATTCATCCTATTACAATATCAGTGCTTCAATAATCATAGTAATGAAAAAAAAAACAAAATAAATAAAGATAGTGAGTTGAATGGCCAATATATAAAAGTGTAAACGCTCATGCTGACAACGCACTGATCGCTCTGATAACGAAATAAGTTTTGAAGTTGATGAAGTGATATGTGAAACAAAATCACGATCATCAATCAGCAAAAAACTTTCATAATATTTACTGAATACTATAATACTATTGATGATTCTAACCCATGCTCATCTGATACTCCTCTACACATGTATCCTCTTATCTCCCACACTCCTGTATCCAACAACCAAGTCGTCAACTTTTTGAAGAATGACACGATTAATCAAATCTTTTCTGCTTTTATGAGATGTTTGCATGCTTTGTAAAAGATAAAACACCAATATAAAAACAACATTTTATTTCAACCGATATATGATACAGCAATT